CAAAAGTTGGGAATAATAAGTTTTCAGTATGAGTTTTTGGGATACGAGAGGGCCACTCGGTGTTTGGTTTCGCTCTTAGCTTCTTACCCGCAGCCACTTGGCAAGCGATCTAATCGAATTACAAATTTACCCAGGGAACTCGCAGGTGCGCTGTTCCAATACCGAATAGGCGAAACCAAGGACCTGAACCTTGCACGGGGGTTCGAAAGTTGAAAGACCGGCAAGTAGATCTTCATGCGACTGGTGGGAGCGAGGGGACGACTCCTCATAAATCAGAGGACTGCGCTGTGTGACACATTCGGATTTTTTTTATTATTCCAGCCCGATGATGTAACTAGGTTTTTGTGCTCGGAAAAGAAAACAAGTCGAGAGCTTCCTTCTGATAAAATTCTTGTTACTCCTATAAACCGCCTCTCTTGTTTGTAAGTCACACAGAAACACGGCTATTCATAGTAGGGAAAGTATGAGGTTATCGTAGTGTATGACATAAGAGGTCGTGTAGGAGAGATAAGGTTTGGCACGGGACGCTCTTAAAGTGAAGATACGATAAGGCAGGTATCGTTTGTAGGCTCGTCCTGATACTAAATATTTGATATCAATACAATTTCAAATATTTAAAAATGTTTTAGCGTTTGTCCACTTTTTATTCAAAATTAATGAAGATAATTAAATTTTGTATCAAATAACAAACTAGACTAATAAAAGATTTGAAACCCAAAACATTACTTTTCAAGGACTAAATAAAGAGCACAGTATTGCGACGTTTAAAATTGTTTCGTTTTAAAATTAATGGATATTTAACCCTTCCTGAGTTTTTATACACCATTACTGTTGCATATAATCGTATTTGCAGCTTCTTTCTAATTACTAATTTGTTATTCATAATTGTTCTCTAAAACACAAATTAGCTCCCCTTTCATAGGTAGAAAAATTATATTTATAATTTAAGACATTTTTAATCAAACATATAATTTATTCAATTTGATAGTCGACGTCGTCAATTTGAATTAACATTCAAATAATGGAATATGGGGATTAGAATTCGTTGACTAATACGAAGAATAAATCATTACGAAAATAACGATGATCAAATTACAACTGTCACGTACGTGCAACTCATGGAATTAAATTATTATTTCTATCCCATCGGCGGGGACATTACCCATTAATTATGCAATATCACATCTATGAATAATGTTATTTTTGTAATATTCCAATAGAAAAATGTAGGCTCAAACGAAGAACTATTTATCGATAGAATCAAATACTGGAAGAGCATAGAAAGAAAAGCAACTGCGTTTGTCTGTTGTTAAAATATTCTTATTTGTGGCGAAGCTCAGATCATTAGGTCCACTATTCTTCCTAACTAGTTTAATAAATTTTCATTTTATAATGCCAATTACCATTGAGGCTTTGAAGCGTGAATAGAAATAAGTGTCTCGTTTCATAAGGAAATGCAATGATTAACTTCAAGAAATGAACTGTACATGCCACAAAGTATGAGAGAATTATCAAGTTATTTGTTATCTTATTGACACCTCTAGTGAGTTAAAAGAACTAACTACTTCGCGTTCACGTTCTCATTCGCCTTTCGGGTTGGCAAAACCTCTCGTCCAGCTCTTGCGAGCGTCTACGAAAGGGGGGTGCTCTTCTGCTTGCAGGACATCAAGTCCTACTGCCTGGACATCCCCGGGGCCTTCCCGTACCCGATCATCGCCGACGAGAGCCGCGAGCTGGCCGTCAGCCTGGACATGATCGACGCCGTCAACAAGGACAACCCCGAGCTGGCCATGACCGTCCGCGCCCTCTACATCATCTCCCCGGACCACAAGCTCAAGCTCTCCATGAACTACCCCGCCTCGACCGGCCGCAACGTCGAGTAAGTACCCCATATTTAGGCAGTGGCACATCCAGGGGGGAAGTGCCACCCGATCAAGGCCTAGAGTTTTCGTTTGTTTCCTTTCTTTCTTTCTTTGGCAAAATTAATTTAAATATTTATTTGTTAGAACTATGTAATTATTTAAAAAATAATATTATTTAGTATCATATATACATTACAAAACTAATATCCAATCTCACAAATATGTTTATTAATTAACAAAGATCTATGATGACCCCCCCAGAAAAAAATTATTGGCTGGGTCCACTGGAATAGGCTGGAATAGGAAAGTACCTATGAGTCTTCGACCCGGATGAAGTTCGCGTCAATATTTTAAAATGTATTCCTAGTTAAAAATGTTTAATTGTGTGTGACACAATTCAATATTCTTCCAGTTAAATTAAATTCTTGACTTGAGGTAGCTCAAATTTAATTTTTGTTGCTCCTGCCAATCACATCTTGCGTGGACCCTCATACGGGATCAATATTTAAAAACGTAAAATAGACCTAAATCCTGCTACGGTTAAAGGTAAATACACGTTAAATTATTTTGCCAGATAACTACTTGCATCATAACTTGAATTTCAAATAGCATTTGATGCACAAATAGTATGACATAATGCAAATGAAATATAAAGTTGACGCTTGTACTAAGATATCAGCAAAGTTTTTCAGTCATTTCCATTGTCAGCGTTGTTTCATATCGCGTCAACTCGACCAGAACGCCAGACACAAAGAAATTAAAAAAAGTCGTTCTCGTGTTACAGTGAGATCCTGCGGTGCATCGACTCTCTGCAGCTGGTTTCGCGTCTCAAGGTCGTGGCCACTCCTGCCAACTGGACGGTGAGTGCACGTCCTTCTACATCTCGAAGCAGTTCAATGCCCTAATATCAGTTCAATGCCCTTTGGAGTTCAACATCTCCCTAAGAATTTTACGAGTTTAAAGCTATAGTTCATAACACTGTTCAGTTTCGAAGAAGAAAAACTCCATTTCCGTTTCACCAATACCCACAAACGTAATTTATCGTCTGGTAATAAATGAAACCGACATGAAAGTTGATTGAAATATTGCCAATATTCGCTCTTTCATTTCCTTTCTGAATGCTGGGTCGTGTTTGCATTGTGTTTGCCGTACACATCCGCTCGTTTGACCCGTTTCTTTATAACTTTTTTAACTTGTGCTTCCACCTCGCTTGCTTTGCAATTTCTCGATAATTGTATTCGATTTAGTTGTCTACTTTAAAATTAATTAGAGAGCGAACAAATTTACCCAATTAATTACAGATTACGTCGACTTGAAAGAATTACTACGCGAATGAACATTACATTTCACCTTCCCCATTTTCTCTTAATCATTGTTTTTCTCTTTGAGACTAAAGAGCCTCATTTCTACATTCTCTAACTCCGTGAAGTCTATTAAATTTGGGAGCGCAACGCATTTAAACTCGAAAGGTCGGGTCGCCTGGCGCATCGGAATTCCTGCCGCCTCCAGCGGGAATGAAAACCTCAGCTCGGGAGGCTCGTCTAGCTG